ATCAAGTATTTTTCGAAATATTAAAAATGAAGATAAGAACTAACACAACTGAATATTCAATTAAAATGAAAAAACAAACTGAAAAAGAAGAAAAGACGCTGGAACGTGAAATCTATGAAATGGAGGCTAGATCCCAAATATTAAGTAGTGATGATCATACAAAATTGTGTTTAAAAAAAGAAAGACTCGAAACTATTAGGACAGAAAAAATAAAAGGAATCATATTTAGGAGCAAGGCCAAATGGTATGAAGAGGGAGAGAAGAATACTGAATATTTTATGAAATTAGAAAAGAGAAGCTATATAAATAAGAACATGAATGAAATAATAACAGAAAATGAAATTCTGACGGAAAAGGAAGACATATTGTAAGAATGTTCAGAATATTATTGCAATTTATACACAAGTAAACACGCAAAAGATTGGCAAGATTACCTAGATGTATTTACGAAAGATTATGACCAGAAATTATCAAATGATCAACGCGAATTTTGTGAAAATACACTTACGCTAGATGAATGTACACGAGCCTTAAATAGTATGAAGAATGGAAAGAGTCCTGGATCGGATGGTTTCACAGCAGAGTTTTATAAAATTTTCTGGAAAGACATAGGTGTATTTCTCTGGCGATCCATAACATATGCATAGGAATCTGGAATGTTACAGACTTTCAACGACAAGGTATCATAACATGTTTGCCTAAAGACTCTCGTGATAGGCGATACTTAAAAAATTGGCGACCTATATACTCTTCTAAATGTAGATTACAAAATTGCATCTGGGGCCATAGCTTCACGACTGAAAGAAGTCCTTCCTGAGATAATAAGTGAAACTCAAACAGGCTTCTTTAAAAATAGATTTCTAGGAGAAAAAACTCGAATATTATATGACTTAATGAATTATTGTGAAGAATATAAACTACCTGGTCTTTTAGTTGCAGTAGATTTTGAGAAGGCATTCGATACTATCGAATGGGACTTTATTGACAAGGTACTGGAAGTATTTAATTTTGGCCCGGTACTTAGAAATTGGATTAAACTCTTTCAGCGTAATAGCTGTAGTGCCTCAATTTTATCGGGTTCGTTGTCGAACTTCTTTTCCTTAGGACGCGGATGTCGTCAAGGAGACCCAGTAGGGCCATATCTCTTTGTAACATGTGTCGAACTGTTGGCTATTGCAATTAAATCTAATAAGCATATCAATGGTATTACTATAAAAGATATAGAATATCTCATCTTCCAATACGCAAACGATATGAATTTCACTTTAGATGGATCTGAACGAGGACTGTCAGAGCTAATTCATATTATTAAAACATTTGCAATAGTATCTGGTCTAAATTTAAACTGTGATAAAACTATAGCTGTCTGGATAGGGTCCAAACGAGACACAAATGAACAACTCTGCCCATATATACCTCTTCGCTGGTCCAAAGAACCATTTAAAATCCTGGGTATAATTTTTTCAACCAATTTAGAAGAAATGATTACATTAAATTTCGAACCGCAGTTTTCAAAAATTAGAAAAAGATTATTCTCGTGGTCAAATAGATCATTAACTTTGATAGGCAGGATAACGATAATTAAAACTCAAATTATCCCCCTTTTTACACACTTGTTTATCGCCCTCCCTAATCCTTCTAAACTCTTTTTCAAACGTTTGAATACTATACTTTTTACGTTTATTTGGGGTGGGAAGCGTGATAAAATCCAAAGGAAAATGTTGATAAACGACTACTGTGAGGGTGGCTTAAAAATGATCGATGTTATATCATTCCGCAAGTACATGAAAATCAAATGGATAAGGAGATTACTGACATCAAAGGGGTTGTGGCAGCACCTAGCAGTTGAGACATTATCATCTTTTAGTGACATTAATCTATTCAACTTTCAAGTGGAAAAAATACAATCCTACTCCAAAAATATTAAAAACTACTTTTGTTGTTTCATGCTATGCAAGTATCCATTCTAAAATTAGTGAAAGTGTTGAAGATTTTATGTGCTTGCCACTTCTTAATTTTGTACCTGTTACCGATATTGGGTTGTTCGTCTCATGGATAAAAAAAGGCATGAAATATATGAAAGAAATTGTCTCGAACAACGGTGAGTTCAAGTCCTATGATACGCTTAAAGAAGAATTTAACCTTAAAGAAGCATATCTCCTTTATTTCAGATTTTTTAAATATATACCCAAACACTGGATCAAAGCCATCAGAGACACAAATCAAAAGATAGAATCAGTAAACACTCAGTGTAATACTCTCACACAAATACTCAAGTCAGCTAACTGTAAATTCATATATACTCAGCTATGTGAAAGTCAAGGAAGCTCTCTCTATATAATCTTCAGCGGAAATGGGAAACCAAACTTAATATTACTCTAGCAGATGACTATCTTTGTGACTGTTTTGCACTGATAAATAAAATTACCATAGAAAATAAAGCCAGGAATTTTCAGTGTAAACTGATTCATCGAATAGTTACAACAAAGTCATTTTTGTTTAAGATAGGTATCAATGATGATAATGCCTGTACCCTCTGCAACAAAGAAATAGAAACTTTAGAACATTTATTTTATTTCTGTGAAAAAACAAAACACCTTCTCTCAACATTTGTTGAGTGGTATCGATACAAAACTAGCTGTAATATAAGTGTTGAACATTTCCTGCTGGGAGATCAGGAGGCACCTGTCCTTATTAACCATCTGTTTATCATTATCAAGAAATATATTAACAAAACAAGATATGACTTTACGGAATTAAATATCAACCAGCTTATATATTTCATAAAATACCATTTCAAACTAGAAGAACATATTTTCGGAGAAAAGGATGAAAAATTTCGTATGAAATGGAATTCTTTGTTCCCTTGTGAGTAAAACCTTTCTGCACCCTGTGTCTATACCGCTATCCTTTTCTTTTCAAACTCTTCCCGTCTGAAAAAAAAAGGGTACAAAATATTGCACTTTTGATTTGCGATTGTAAGCTTATAATTTTGTTTATATGGGTTTTTTTTTCATAACCAGCAATGTATATTATATGACATGAATAAAAAAAATTTAAAAAAATATAAAAAAAAAAGAAAAGAAAAAAAAGAAAGAAATTTGCATGAGTACGATTTTCATTTTCAAACCAAAAATACAAAACGGCTTGGAACGTTTTTTTAAGAGTATATGGTCATGAAATAGTCAAGGGCATTTGATTTAAAATGATATAATCAATACTTTGTTTCATTTAATCTTTACGAAAGTTGTAAAAATCTTAAAAGTTGTAGAAATGATACACAGGAACATCTCCCAACAAGTAACAACTGTGGACATCAAATGTATTAAAGGTAATAGTTGCAATTATATTCTACAGACTATCTACTTATACACGAATGGACATATAACACCAGAAAGATGAATAAAAGCGACAGCGTATACTGCCCTCCTGACGGAACCCGTCATAAATACACGCACAATACAAAGTCAATGTGCAACTGCAAACAGGAACGTATGGTACCAATCAAAACAGGTAATTGCAGCGGACATCATTTCTGTCACTGATGCGTCAAATTTGACACGTCCTCCACATATGAATATGAATATTGAAAGCTCTACTGGGGCATTGATACTTGTAACCTTGAACTTCTCTTCTGTGTGACACCTTTTGAATATAAGAGACCGTACAATGTGAATGCCAATCCCCCAAATATCCCCCCCCACACACACACACCCTCCTATAATTTATTTACACTGTCATGACATGTGCAAAATCAATGACATCCCCTCTCATACATCTGACCATAAAATTGATGACCCCCTACTCCCCAGAACAAACGTGACAATTGAACAAATCCCATTGTTTGCACGTGCCGATGAAATAATTAAACAAGTTCAAAATCTTCTTCCGTTTGTGGGCGTCATTAATATAACCACCGTCATATTGCTGAGATATTCCTAAAAGCGGCGTAAAACTAAACTCACACAATAATCTAAACAAAATTCCCAAATGGCAAACATCCGCTGTTTTCATCCTTCTTGAAGATGTTCTAGAGTGCGCAGCAAATAACTAAATGTAGAGCAAAGCGAAAAAACATCTGTAAAACACCTCAGCTATAAGATTCTTAAAGGAACCGCCTCAGTGGTGTAGTGGTTAGAGCGTCCGCCTGAATAGCGGAAGGTCGAGGGTTCGATCCCCGACCGCGCCATACCAAAAGACGTTAAAATATGGTACGTGTTGGTCCCTGCCTAGCGCTCGGCATTAATGGGTACAACAAAGACTGGTCGGCTCGGGGTCAATATGTGTCTGAGTGTGGTATTCATGCTTAACTGCGGAATGGTATCTCAGTGACCTAGCACTATAAAATCAGCTCAAGTCTGGGCTAGTGCAAGCAGCCGCACATACACACGCACGCACGTCGTCATATGAGCGAAATATTCTTAAGTGCGACGTTAAACCCCATTTCTCCTCACCTCACTTTCTGAAAGGACAAGGTGCCCAAGTACCGTTCGAGCGCAAAGATCATGGCTGAATTCCTTGAGCGGAAGTGTCTGCCTTTAAATGCAAAAAAAGTATTGCAGCCGTCTCAAAATCTATAATTTAGTTGTGCTAAATGGCAAGGCACCAACTTGAAATGTGGTTTGTTTGTTCGTTGTTTAACGCCTCACTCAGCAATATTCCAGCTATATGGTGGCGGTGCGTCCGATGACCTGTCAACCAAGTCAGCGAGCCTGACCACCGATCCCGTTAGTCACCTCTTACAACAAGCACAGGTTGCTGAAGACCAATTTAACCCGGAGCTTCACGGTTGCTTGAACTACTAGTATGAATACAGTTGATCGTCATCAGTACGATGCTCTCCAATCTGTGTATGCGTTAAGGATGTACAGCAGCGACAATACACCAACATGATTGTGAGTGAATTTAGTTTTACCCGTCCTTAAGCAACATTCAAGCAATATCACGGCGGGAGACACCAGAAATGGGCTTCACACATTGTACCCATGTGGGGAATCGAACCCGGGTCTTCGGCGTGACGAGCGAACGCTTTAGCCACTAGGCTACCCGATCGCCCCCAACATGATAATGAAGCACTTATGTACTGGGCAGTGGCTAAACTGCAGGACAAGGCACCCAACATGGTTCGTACTGATAACAGTTCCAGGAAGCATCAGCAACCGCTGCCCCAATCTCTGTGTCATGCACCATCTGGCATGTACGTTCCGTCAACCTAAAGTTGAAACCGGTGCAGCGGATGTCCCTTTCACAGACCGAGGCACAAGCTGCGGGGTCGTCGATATCCGACTGTAGATCCTGAATGAAAGCACTGCTGAACCGTTTACCACGCTGAAGTTTGAGCGTCGAGCCTGTGAATACAACGTTATCATTCTTACACATACTGTAAAAGAGGTAGGTGATCAGTTGTAGCTAACACTGTCCACAATAAGTGTTTGTTTGTTTGTCTGTTTGTTTCTTTGTTTGCTTAACGCAGCACAAGTGTAACGCTCGTCACGCCGAAGACCCGGGTTCGACTCCCCACAAGGGTACAATGTGTGAAGCCCATTCCTGGTGTCCCCCCGCCGTGATATTTCTAGAATACTGCTAAAAGTTGCGTAAAACTATATTCAATCACTCAATCAGGACCAAACATATACTCTCCCCCAAAAGAAAAGGACCCAGTGGTGCAATAACGTTTGATTCTGGAATCTATAAAACAGGCGACTTCATAACCTTTGCATGGTAACAGACATTGATCTTTCACACTGTGAAATCTGGCTGTAACTGATCCAGAATTGCATGTGCTATCTCACGTAAATGTTTAATACTTGTGTTAATAATGTACATTGCTGTTGTCAATCTTAATATTACTATTGTGTTTGGATATTGCCAGTGTAATATTTTCTATCCTTTAAATGCTCCGGAGCTCTTATGAATGTAAACCAAACTTCCTCCGAGGATAATAAATCTTATCTTATCTTGTCTTATGTTACAGTTACAGTCAAAATACACCTATGCGTTTCTTTTAGGGGAGAGTAGACTTATATATATGTTAAAGCGTGCTGACTTACATGACCTGAAGTGTGTTTGCCTATCCCCGAAGACTTGCACTTCACAGAACTGCAGCACATCTTCATTATCTCTTCTGTTCTTCCCTGTGAGACGAAGATATCGGCCATTAACGGGCCTCGTGCAGGTCACTGTGACTGTGACCCCAGGAGACGTCACATTGCCCGAGTAGAAGTAGCATTGTTTTGCAATAGCATGTGGATTGAGGGAGGGATCTATATCGTACACGTCCACGGAAAAATCGTGCAACCTCTCAGCTGAAAATAAATCATCCATATAAAACTGACGTACAAAAGAAAGTACACACTTGATGTGTTGGTAAAATGTTTTCTTGAAAACGGCGTAATATTTAGAAAAGTGTTCTGATTGTGACTGACAAGTCACAAACATTGTGTACGTGTTGTAATAACACCATAGATATAGTACCCAATTAGAAAACACAAGGTTTGTACTCTCTTTTGTACATCAGTATATATAATGTATCAATTTGATACTATAATCGTGTGTACAAAAACTTTAAAATCGGCTTTCGTTTAGGCCTGCAGATTTGACGAGTGGTCAGGCTCGCCGATTCCCAAAGCGTAGATTGATGCACAGGCTGTTGATCACTGGATTGTCTGATCCAGACTGTTTACAAACCGCCGCCATATAGACGCAGTGTTAATGGGTGCAACGTTAAACAAACAAACAGGCCCAAAATCAGTGTATGAAATAAGCCAAAAACCCAATCAGACATCTGGGCTGATAACTTCAAAAACTTACCAGCCGAGAAAAGATTTAACCAGTCCTTCTTAAATACTAAATAGACAGTGCCAGTGGACACGCTATCTGAATATATTTTTCACCCGTCCATCGGGCTGGCTAGCTGTTAACTTAAGTGTTAATTTAAACCGTCCAGCAGAAATCTAACCCGTCAGACGGGCCTTACTTCATACACTGCCAAAAGCCCACAGATTTGAAATACAATGTACAATACCAAGTGTTTCAGAAGCAAGGAAATTAATCGAACTCCGAAATACATCAGTACTATTGGAAACCTCATACAAGTAACAAAAACTCTAATGATGTGTATTCCTAATGACGAGTATTATAGTTTGGTTTGGTTGTTGTTTAACAGTACCAACTGAACGCACTCAACAATATTCCAGCTATATGGCGGCGGTCTGTAAATAATCGAGACTGGACAAGACAATCCAGTGATGAGCAGCATGGGTATCGATGTACACAACTGGGATATGATGACGTGTGTGAACCAAGTCAGCGAGCCTGACCACCTGATCCCGTATGTCACCTCTTACGAACAGCATGGGTCACCGAAAATCAATTCTTACCCGGATCTTCAGGGTGAAAAATATCATTACTTACGACAGCAGTCCGACCTCGATGACACAGTGATCATCTTCACTAAGACCTGGTACTGAAGGTCCACTTGCCACCAGTGATCAGGATCGGAGAAGTCTACAGAGAAACAACTAAGAGAATCCCAGTGCGTGCCATTCTTGCCATCAACAGCGACACTTGGACCTTGATATTCGACAGTACTGGAAGTTGTTGGCTTCCGCAGAGCATGGTTCAGATCTGTATCATAGTAATGTTTGGTATTACATCGTGCAAAACTTCCATTTCAGGGCCGTAGGTAGTCGGGGGCTCCAGATCGAGAGAGATCGAGATCGAGAGATAGAGAGATCGAGATCGAGATCAAATACCCGACAGTTGATCGGTACCCGAATTATACATAGAGGATACTAAACGACTTTGGTATCAAAACGAGTAAAAGGGAGTTTGATACTAAATCTTTCTTGAGTTTAATAGAAACAGCATTTCACGAAAACTAGTTTAGTATTCTGTTATTACTCTCCAACATAAATTGATAGAAACTGCCTACAGTGTGATGACTTTCATATCAATTCCAGTGAGTCAAGCAAGGTCTAATACCATTGCGACAGAGGCATTAGCATTGTGACGTCATAACTGTAACCATTATGACGTCATAAGTCTAGCGGTACACTAGTGTAATATTGCCGTAAAGATATTACACTGCAGTATCAGTAATAAACCTAATTACATGTGATAACAACAACCTTTGATAAGTAAAATAAGGAATCCAGGGCAATGACATGGCATGTCCCCATTTTGCCTACATCCCATTTTGCCTACACTTTTATCAAAAAATATTACTCTCTAGTGGCTATGCTTCATGCAAGGTTAAACATGGAACTACCTACTATATACAATGTACTAATCCAAGTCAGTTCTAATGTCTTAATTAATTACTATCATATTATGATAATACTGTCACAAGTAATTGGATTCAGGAACTTAATGAAGCTTAATCCTGTTTCTTGCTGCGTCAAGGAACTGAATATCTGTCCTTTTCCCGATCACTTAAATAAATAAAGCAATTTTCAGGCGCGTAGCAAGCCAATTGTTTCGTGTAAGCCCGATGGGCTGGAAAGCTTTATATATCTAGATAGTATGGAGGGCTTGCTCAACCTTTTTAGCAACAATCTTGTGTAAGCCCGGTCTTTTTTCAAAATGGTAGCTACGCCCCTGATTTTTCTGACTGACTTATCTTGTTAAGTTGCAATGAGTAAACTGAGTGAGTGAGCAATATTGAACAAACCTGAAGATATCATGTATATGATGTACATTTCACGTGCAATTTCTGGACTGTCAACTGAATTTAATAATACAACTATTGTATGTAAATACTTAAACTGAACAAAACAGTTGTTTTGCATGCATACAGATATGTCCAAACATATTCATAAAGTTTAGTTCATAACATTATGTATAGAGGCTACAATTTTGAACAAAGAAACTTTTTTTCACAAAAAAAACATTGAAAAGTTTGGTCAAACGTAGCAGGAAAAAATAATATTTTGTACAAAATTGGAGATTCACTCATTTTACCTCCAGAAAGCAGGAAATTGAATCTGAGAGCATCTAAGTTTAAAAAATTACTTTATAAACTCAAACACTGTGCGAAATAGCCACTGGCCCGCTAGCCCGTGGCTAGTAAAAATCCAGTCGGGCCAATAAATCTCCAGAGTCACTGGCCCGACTGGATAGTGAATTTTCACGGGGTCAATTTTTAAATATATAGTTCTCTCCAACTTATAATTTATAAGTTATAATGCACTTTTAAATCATGAAAGATTATGGCCTGATAAATGATGGCATTTTACCTTTTTGTAATCTTTTGCTTAGTTTTTACATTCAAATTTCGGGCAGTGAATGATTTGGGGGGCAAGAAAATAACTGAAGTAACAAAAAAAAAAACTGGAAGCTGGAAATACCGAGAAAATACGGGGACCAACTCGTAATTTATAAAAAATACATAAACAAATAATTGAAACATCGAGAATCTTTTGCTTAAAAAAAATGTTGCATCAGGCTTTCCTTTTTCATAAATGTTCTTGAAAAATTTCATTTTTCACCTGTAACTGAAAAAACATTCAGTCGCAAACAAATTAACAATAGCGCAACAAAACTACCCCGAGGGCCATAAACGTCAAATAGTCGATCCCCAATACAGAGCAAAGCCTTAAAGCCAAAATAATCACCCCATGGAATAGCAACGTAATACCCAAACAAATGAAACAACTTACGAATATTGGTAAACTTACCCGTCCCTGCTGCTTCTTGTACAGCAAACAACATCAAAACACACACCATCATTCTACCTGTCATGGCGGAATGATGGATAGTGAAATGTCACGTTTAGCGATGTGTGCAAGTTATTTTGTATCTTCTTCTGAACACACACTCAGCTGCGTGTAAAGTTAAAAATTAATAGCAATAAAACAATTGCCAAGCTTCGAAATAAGAAACAGTGGTCGATTAACAGTCAATTATTCATGTTGACCACTAAGCTACGGTTGGTCAGTTTTGAATGCGGACGCCTAGGGACTACACATTGACCCTAAGAAAGAAAAAAAATACGATACTTCATGGATAGCACCTTCTAAATTATATATGATGCGACGTTTCGGTATAGATTCGTATACCGTTGTCAAGCAAGAGTGAAGTACTACAGCACAGAAGAAAACGAAGAAGAAGAAAATTTGTTTATTATTATGGTGTCACACATTATTGGTACAACCCGATTCGATAAAAGTACATATTTTTAACAATGTGCAGCCATGTGGCCTGTGGGACACCAACGATACCTTAATATACATAATTCTAAAACATTTGGCATTAAAACATACACATATACACACGTACGCAACATATACACATATACTGTATATATAGACATTATCATTAATAATTTCTTTATTTTTCATTTTATTCATGTACATGTGTTCAGTAAAACACGGTAAACAAGTATGACGGCGTTTTTTCATTGACGTCACGATCAATTGTTTAATGACGTCACAAACGACGAAATACAGAAACAATGGTTGCTAGGCAAAAGTGATATGTGCATGTGCACATATAGAGAATACTACACAAGGTCTCATTACATACGAGGTCTCATTACAAATTTGAAATGTCCTCCACATATCAATAAAAACTATTTTGAAAGCTCTACTGGGGCATTGATTGTTGCAACCTTGAACTTCTGAGCTGTGTGACACCTTTTGAACTCCTGATTAAAAGAGCATGTAAGAGACCGTACATTGTGAATGCCAATCCCCCAAACACCCACTCCCCCAAAATTTATGTACAAAGTCATGACATGTGCAAAATCAATGACATCCCCTCTCATACATGTGACCATAAAATTGATGACCCCCTACCTCCACAGAACAATCGTGACAATTGAACAAATCCTATTGTTTGCACGTGCCGATAAAATAATTAAACAAGTTCAAGATGTAGTCAACTGTGAAATCTGTATGGTGGGCGTGTATCATGCAATCTCCGTTTGTTGGCGTCATTAATATAACCACCGTCATATTGCTGGGATATTGCTAAAAGCGGTGTAAAACTCACTCAGTAATCTAAACAAACTTTCCAAATGGCGAACATCCGCTGTTTTCATCCTTCTTGAAGATGTTCTAGAGTGCGCAGCAAATTAAATGTAGTGCAAAGCGAAAAAAACATCTGTGAAACACCTCCGCTATAACGTTCTTAAAGGAACCGCCTCAGTGGTGTAGTGGTTGGAGCGTCCGCCCGGAGAGAGAAGGTCGCGGGTTCGATCCCCGACCGCGTCCTACCAAAAGACGTTAAAATATGGTACTTGTTGGTCCCTGCCTGGCGCTTGGCATTAATGGATACAACAAGGCATCGTCGGCTCGGAGTCAGTATAATGTGTTTTTTAACTGCAGCATGGTATCTCAGTAAGCTAACATTATAAAACCAGCTGGAGTCTGGGCTAGTACAAGCAGCCACACATACACCATGCACGCCGTCAAATGAGCGAAATATTCTTAAGCACAACGTTAAACCCCATTTCACCTCACTTCACCTCGCGTTCTTAAAGGACAAGGTGTCCAAGTAACGTTCGAGCGCAAAAATCATGACTGAATTCATTGAGTGGAAGTGTCTGCCTTTAAATGCAAAGTGCAACCGTCTCAACATCTATAATTTAGTTGTGCTAAGTGACAAGGCACCCACTGGAACTATGGTTTGTTTGTTCGTTGTTTAACGCCTCACTCAGCAATATTCCAGCTATATGGTGGTGGTGTGTCCGATGACCTGTCAACCAAGTCAGCGAGGCTGACCACCGATCCCGTTAGTCACCTCTTATGACACAAGCACAGATTGCTGAAGACCAATTTAACCTGGAGCTTCACGGGTTCTTGAACTACCAGTATGAATACAGTTGATCGTCATCAGTACGGTGCTCTCCAATCTGTGTATGCGTTAAGGATGTACAGCAGCGACAATACACCAGCATGATTGTGAGTGAGTTTATTTTTACGCCGCTTTTAGCTATATTCCAGCCAGAGCACGGCAAGGAAACTCAGAAATGAGCTTCACGCATTGTACCCATGTGGGGAATCGAACCCGGGTCTTCGGCGTGACGAGCGAATGCTTTAACCACTAGGCTACCCGACCGACCCCCAACATGAAGCACTTATGTACTGGGCAGTGGCTAAACTGCAGGACAAGGCACCCAACATGGTTCGTGCTGATAACAGTTCCAGGAAGCATCAGCAACCGTTGCCCCCAATCTCCGTGTCATGCACCATCTGGCATGTACGTTCCGTCAACCTAAAGTTGAAACCGGTGCAGCGGATGTCCCTTTCACAGACCGAGGCACAAGCGGCAGGGTCGTCGATATCCGACTGTAGATCTTGAATGAAAGCACTTCTGAACCGTTTACCACGCTGAAGTTTGAGCGTCGAGCCTGTAAATACAACGTTATCATTCTTACACATACTGTAAAAGAGGTAGGTGATCAGTTGTAGCTAACACTGTCCACAATAAGTTTCTGTTTGTCTGTTTGTTTCTTTGTTTGTTGGTTTAATGCAGCACAAACGTAATGCTCATTACGCCGAAGACCCGGGTTCGACTCCCCACAAGGGCACAATGTGTCAAGCTCATTTTTGGTTCCCCCTCCTCCCCAAACCAAAGACACCCCACCCACCCCACCCACCCCACCCCTTGCCGTGATATTTCTAGAATACTACAACATGTGGTGTAACACTATGTTCACTCTCACACTCAGGATAACGGGTACAGTGGTACATTAACGTTCAATACAGGAATCTACAAAACAGGCAACTTTATAAACTATGCATGGTACCAGACAATAATTTTTATACTGTGAAATGTGGCTGCACCTGATCCTGAATTACATGTGCTATCTCACTTTACAGTTGGAAGATTGAATTGAAAATACGCCTATGCGTACCTTTTAGCGAAGAGTATATATATGTCCAAGCGTAGTGGCTGTACTGACTTACATGAACTGAAGTGTGTTTGCTTATCCCCAAAGACTTGCACTTCACAGAACGGTAGCACATCATCATAATCTCTTCTGTTCTTCCCTGTGAGACGAAGATATCGGCCATTAACGGGCCTCGTGCAGGTCACTGTGACTGTGACCACAGGAGACGTCACATTGCCCGAGTAGAAGTAGCATTGTTTTGCAATAGCATGTGGATTGAGGGAGGGATCTATATTGTACACGTTCACGGAAAAATCGTGCAACCTCTCAGCTGAAAATAAATCTTCCATATATACAATGTATTAATTTGACACTATAATCGTATATACAATTAACCATACTATCGGCTTTCGTTTAGGCCTACAGATATGACGTGTGGTCATGCTCGCTGATTCCTATTTGCGTACATCGATGCTCGTACTGTTGATCGGTGGATTATCTGAGCCAGACTCGATTATTCACAAACCGCCGCCACATAGACGAAATATTTTTTGCTGCGACTTTAAACAAACAAACAACCCCTTTGAAATACAATATACTATACCAAGTGTTTCAGAAGCAAGAAAATTAATCGAACTCCAAAATGCATTAGTACTATTATAAACCTCATTTAAGAAACTAAAACACTAATGATGCGTATTTCTAATGACGAATATTATAGTTTAGTTTGGTTGTTGTTTAACAACCCACTAAACAATATTCCAGGTGTATGGCGGCGGTCTGTAAATAATCGAGACTGAACAAGACAATCCAGTGATGAACAACTATGGTATCGATGTACACAACTGGGATATGATGACATGTGTGATCCAAGTCAGCGAACTTGGTAACCACTGACCCCACAGACATTGTCTACACCCACCTATGTATGTACTTGAATGATCCTTCATTGTATCTAATGCTTTATGCTCTGTATTGCATGGGTCTTATCGGAGGTTGTGGGATTTTTCATCTTTATTTTTAGGTACAAAATCATGACATCAAGTCACAACCAAATATAAGTTTGGCGGTATCTCACATTGACAAGCATATCATAACAAATGACATTGTAGGAAAAAGGGTCAGTTGTACGTTAGTATCAATCAAGCAATTAATGGCAATCAGAAATTTGGTTAAGTTACACGAAGAGACGGCACGTGTTCTCTCGATATTGTAAATTTTACTTTTTTCCCCTTTCTGATCGTGTCGAAACTTGGTGTACAAGTATATGTTCATACTTTAAAAAGAGTAAATTTGACAACTGTTATCAGGAGACTAAGGACTTTGTTCCTTTTTTCATAGAATCCAAATATGATTTTCATCTCATCGATATTCCATGTGATATCTGTTTTTCTTTTTATGCAATTGGAAAATTGATTCCATATGATTCTGATTTTGGACAGTCGTAAAAGAGATGAATTCCGCTTTCTGGTGCATTTTCACAATATGAGCATAAACTATTTTCGACATATATCCCATCTTAAACAAAAGTAGGTTTGTTGGTAAGATTATATGCCCTAAGGAATATTGGAATTATCTAAAGTCTGAATTTATATGAGCTCGAAATATAATCTTTTGATAGGATTTCCATTCTTTTTCACTTATATCTGTTTCAAGTTCATCTTCCCATTTCTTTTTAAAGCTATATATAGCAGAGTCTAAAATTGGAATAAGTCTATCGCACTATATCTTACAACCTTTCTTATTTCTAAAGATGTCTTGAATGTGATAAGGAATGAATGGTAATTCAAGATTTTCTCCAAATGGTATGTTGTATATGTTTTAAAATATTGTTTAACTGCTCTTACTAGGCTTTCATATTCTAAGAAGTTCGCTGTTAAATGGTTTGTAGTTTGCTCATGAAACATTTGATAAGTATACACTGTTCCATCAGTGTCCATCAAGTCATGTGCAAATGTTATGCCTATTTTAGAGTAGTGTGGGTACTCGAATGTTGTTTTTTTATCCAAGAGAATTTGTTCATTGTACCATAAACATTGCATTGCGATAGAATACCATTGCCCTGAACAACTGTTTTATTTTTCAGTGACGTATAGGAACCTCATGCTAAAAGAGCATCTTCCCAAAAATAGTTTATTTTTTTATTTGTAGCTCTTTGTTTTATAAATGCTTCTCCCTTTAACAGGATATCTTGTATGTTTTGTGACACATTGTAGGAAGAGATGGCAGTCAATTTGGAGTCCTTTAAAAACATTCTCTTAAACCACGCAATTTTTGGAGCATTACAAGTCTGTTTTATGTGGAGCATTCTTAAACCGCCTTCCCCATATTGTTGTTTTATGATATCACGTTTAATCTTATCAGGTTTGTTATACCATGCAAAGGAGAAACATAGTTTTATAGGTCATTAATAATGTCGTTTGGTGGGGTTTATTGTTGTAAAAAATTAAGGATTTCAGGATTGTAATCCTATCGAGGGGTGTAAGGTTACGAGCTGTCCGTATTTGCATTTGTCCTTTTATATTTTTTAAGTTTGTCTTTATAGTTCCTTTCAACCATCTAAGCTAGGTTTAGAGAGAATACAATACCGAGAATAGTAAAGTCATCTTGGGACCAGTTAAGTTTCCATTTTTTGCATAAAATGTTGGTTGATCCTCTGAGAGATCCTATCCAAATGATTCTTGTTTTACTTACATTTATTCTCAGACCAGAAAAGGAGGCATAGTCATCCAATATTTGTAAAGCATTTTGTAGACACTTTTCAGTACCATCTAAAACAAGGGATGTATCATCTGCAAACTGGGAGACAGGATATTCTGTTTCCAATTGTGATACCTTTTACCTTTGGATTGTTTTGAATCATTGTAGATAACATTTTAGCGCATATAATGAAGATATAAGGTGAAAGGGGATCCCCTTCTCTACAGCTTCTAGTTATATTAAAGAAGATTAACCAAATCCATTTACTAGTATTGACGAGCTTATATTACAATATTATGTTTTCATCCATTTTCTTTTAGATTTACCAAAATTAAAAAATGCAAAACCTCTTCAATGAAGTTCAAGTCTACGGAGTCAAAGGCTTTTTCGAAATTGATCAGTAGGAATTTCCATAGTTTCTGTACAATCAATATATTTTTATTAGCAAGGAATCCTTCTTGATCTTCGTTAATAATTGAAGCCAATGACCTTTTAATTCTATTTGCTACTTTTGCCGAACCGATCATGTAATGATATTGGTCTCCAGTTTGATAAATATTTTTTGGGCTTGCCCTTTTTAGGTATACAAGTAATAAGTCCTTGTTTTGGGCCAGTCGATAGTTCACCGTTTTTGTATGCGTAATTTAAAGATTCAAGTAGAAACGGATGTATATCATTCCAGAAGAATTTGTAAAACTCAGTAGTGAATCCTGATGGACCAGGACCTTTTCCATTATTTATTTTTTAAGCAAGCTTAGGACTTCGTCAAACGTTAATTCCCCTTCTAGGCTTTGTTTTTGGTTATCATTAAGTTTGTGGATTTTAGCATCCTTAAAAAGCTCATGTACGTTAACCTTCTTTGTATCTTTTTTGTGTATAACCTTTTGTAGAATGCTTTTGTTTCTTTTATTAAATTGTTTTTGCCTGTTACAATTTCATTATTTTCATTTTCTAGTTTTGTAATTGCTTTAATTAGGAAGTTTTGCTTTTCAAGGGATAGGAAGCATTTGCTTGTTTATTCTCCGTGCTCATACCAATCAACTTTTGATCTCATTACAATACCTTCTGTTTGGTATTTATGAATTGCTTCTAATTCTGTTTGTCTGTTGTATTTGGGACAATAAATCTTCTTTAATGTCATCCTTTTCTGAACGATCAAATTGTATTTCCAAGTCGTTGATATTGTCAATAAGTTCTTCTCACCTCTTATTTCTTCTGGGAGTTTGGGTATTCGATGTACTGGGAATTTATCAACACAAATAAATTGCTACAGGAAAATGCTCATTAAGAAAAGATTAATGGTGGCACATATTGTTGGTAGTATGAATTAAGTTTTTCAAGTTTAACTTTCTCGTTATATCAAACATTTGTCTAATTTTTTTTTCAAAATATCGATTTATGTCTCGATTACATTCTGATAATTTCAATTGTTTTCTCATTCGTTTCTAATTTCTGATTTGTTCTCGTTAGTTTATCTGTTTTCACTAAATTCTGATTTTTTTCTCATCAGTAAAAGTTTATTTATCAACTAAAAAATTCGAAAGTACGAGAAACCAATTCAAGTAACAAAAAAAACCTCAAAGTTTTCGAAGTTATTAAAGAACAACTAAACTTTGTTTTTTGTACTCTTTTAACTATTACATATGAAAGATTTGTGGTTAGACTTATGCGGAACACCAAATTCATTCTTAAAAAACTTGTGGTTAATTAATACCGAGCGATTAAAAGTTGCCAAATAGTCGCCTGCTTCAGTCTCGCCCGCCAACGAAACCACAGACAGGTTACGTAACTCTGTCTCCAGAGCACTGCAGTGACGTCATATGAGGAACGATTTTCAGTTAGTTGTATAGAAAGTGTGTAGCACCCTCATCATTTTGAGGATTTCTCGACATCAACGACGACATGCCGAATCGTTGCTTTGTCGTCAATTGCTCCTAGGGGTCGGGCGATGGTGTCACCATGCGCAGTTTTCCACAGGACCCCGCAGTTCGTGCTAAATTGGTTATGTTTGTGAGTGCGAAGCGAGCGTTGTGGAAGCCTGAAACGATATCTTACTTGTGTTCAGATCGCATCACGGAAGTTAAAGAATCAAAACTACTTACTAGTTGTAGTAAAATATGTATATGATTGATGACCATAAAGATTTTCCATGACACAACTTGTAACATAACGATTTCTTCCTCAGAATCGAGGTTGTGGTCGAAGTAACAATAATATTGTAAGTGGTATTATATTAACACGCACCTCGCTGCCACGAGAGAAATTGTTATGTTATAAGCTATGTCATGCAAAATCCTATTGGCCATCAATCAAATACATATTTTACTACCAGTAGAAAGTAGTTTTGATTTTGTAACTCGGTGAAAACAAACCTAAATAGCATTTATCCTCAGACTGGCGGATGTTCGCGACAGGGCACCGCCATGTTTGAAAATCGTAAAGTGGTGGGCTAAAGTCTGTTAGAATTAATTAGGTTATGGTTTGTTTTCATCAAGTTAGAAAATCAAAACTACTTTCTACTCGTAGTTAAATATGTATTGTAATCATAACCAAAATGATTTTGCATGACACAACTTATAACATAACGATTTCTTCCACGGAAGCGAGGTGGGGGTCGAAGTCACAATACTGCGCGATAAATGTCTTGCTA